GGTATTTTGTGGAAGAGCCACACTCAAGGGGCCAAAGAGCCGCATGTGGCTCGCGAGCCGCAGTTTGCCGACCACTGTCCTAGACTGTCCATCAGTGGCCGGCGTCGCAGGGACGGTGTGGGCAGGCGAGAGGCCCTGCCGCTGCCCCTGCCCCTGAGGCTGAGGCAGCCTTGGCGTGGTTTGGGGCTTCTCACCCTCCTGTTCGTAGCCCACACCTCGGGTCAGCCCAGCCCCTGCTGGCTCAGGGAGAGCAGTTACCCCCGTGTCCCCACCGCAGGACCCTGACTCCAGCCCAGGCTAGTCCAGCGGCACCTGACAGCAATGGGTCGTCAGGAAATGCTTTTGAGGACTAGAGAAGGAAGGCACACACCTGTGTGAGAGCCAGGTTTCTTTTTCAAAATTAATCCTCAAACCCGGCTGGTGTGGCTCAGTGGTTGAGTGTTGACCTATGAACCAGGAGGTCATAGTTTGATTCCCAATCAAGGGCACACGCCCGGGTTGCCGGCCTGATCCCCAGTCGGGGGCGTGCAGGAGGCAGCCGATCCATGACTCACTCTCTCATCATTGATGTTCCTGTCTCTCTCCCTCTCCCTTCCTTTCTGAGATCGATGGAAAAATATTTTTAAAAAATTTAATCAAGCCTGGTTGGCTGAGGGTTGCTGAGGAGAAAGCCCACAATTTCCCGTTCGTGGACAGACGGCCGGGGGAGGCGGAGGTGACACCGGCTGCCGCCTCCACCCGCAGGGCTCCGGTTGGCGGACGGTGGGGAACCGCTTCATGGGACGGAGAGTTTGCATGTTGATTTCCGTCAGTTGGCTACTTCCGTGGTTCGATGGTCGTGACCCGTGCAAACCTTGTAAAATCTCACCCACCACACATAGCGTCAGCTCCATACAATCATAAGACGAGTTCAGCCCCGGCTGGCGCACACGCGCTGCGGATTTCATCGGTCGTGTTCGATTTAACTTTGGCCGTGCTCTGTGCCTTTGATTGTCCTCATCTCAGACCTCCGCTTGTTCTTGTCGCCCCGCCTTGTAGCTAACGAGTCGGGGGAGACGCCCCTGGACATCGCCAAGCGCCTGCGGCACGAGCACTGCGAGGAGCTGGTGAGTGTGCACAGAAGGGTTAAGTCACTTGCCCGAGGCCGCACAGCGCCTCCGTGGCTGTGGCGAGCATGAAGCCCCACTGGCCCGAGGCACCAGGTGAATGTAATGAATGACCTCCCTGCAGCTGGGACTGGCTGCCTGCCTGCCTTGAGGGCACCGAGTGTCCCTGGGAAGGGCGGCCCGTCATTTTCTCAGGGCTGAGCTCTCCTGTCGGTTGAGGAAGGCTGGGCTACCCCTGGGGGACACGCCCAGTTTGCTCCCTTACGCGGTGGGCTGCGTCCAGGCTGCGGGTCACTCTGCAGATCTCACGGCCCTGACCTGCGCGCAGTTCACAGGGCACCTAACCTAACGGGCTTGAGTTTCGTGTTACCTGTGAATTGGGGAGCAGGTGTAACCCGAGACCCAGAGATTTGCATAAGCCGGGGGGGGGCTCCCTGCCTCCTCCCTGGGCGTGTGGGTGGATGTCCGTGTCCCGGGCTGAGCTGCGTCACCCACAGTCCTTTGCTCCCCTCAGCTGACCCAAGCCTTGTCTGGAAGGTTCAACTCCCACGTGCACGTGGAGTATGAGTGGCGGCTGCTGCCCGAGGACCTGGATGAGAGCGATGACGACGTGGACGAGAAGCTGCAGGTCCGTGCCCGCGCGTCAAACCCGAGTTCCCTGATGAGCTTCATTCGGAGCCGCGCGGCTCTGGCCTGCCGTTAGGGCGGAGAGCTGGTGTGCAGGAGAGAGTTGGGCTTGCTTTCCACTCCCTGTGATCTCGGCGGGCGTGCTCTCAGCCCTCCGGTCTCCCCGCTCCTGCACGCGTTCGTTAGAGGGACGTGCGTGGCCGCGGCCCGGGCAGCTGCTCGCCTTTGGATGTGAAGGGAAGACAGGCGGGCTTGGATCCCAGCGGGGGAGAGGAATCCGCACGCTGCGGTTAATGGGACCAGGAGCCAGGTTCCCCCCGCGGCCACGGTCACCGAGTGGAGCTCTGAAACCATCACTGAACCCGTGCAGTGGCCCCTCGTGCTCATTCGGTCAAGGCTTTCCCTGCTCAGAGGGGGCCATTGACGCTGAGAGAGAGTTGACTTGGCCACAGGGAAGCAAGTGTTTGAGACCAGCTTAGGGCCAGCCTGCGGGCTCTTGCCTCCTAGCTCCTTCCCGTGACGCTCCCTGGGGGACCTTGGAACGTGAGACGGGGAGGCTTGTCCGGTTTGCTCGTCCTCCTGTCGGACGTCCAGGTGTGTCCTGAGGACGCCCAGTTACCTACGTGGCGTTTCTGAACCGAGTGGCCCATCCTTGTGGGCGGAGCACTTCACGTCCATACTTGCTGACTCTTTTTTTGTTCATTCTCACCCGAGGATATTTTTTCCCCGTTGAATTTTTTAGAGCGGAAGAGAGGGGGAGAGACACAGAGAGAGAAACATTGATGTGAGAGAGACACATCGATTGGTTGCCTCCTACACGTGCCCCAACCAGGGCTGGGGATCGAGCCTGCAACCGAGGTAGATGCTCCTGACCTGAATCAAACCCTTGATCCTTCTGTCCGAGGGCTGATGCTCTAACCACTGAGCGAGCCGGCTAGGGCCTTACTGACTCTTAGAATAAGAAGTTCCTTCAGTGACTTAGCGATGAAACAGGGTCAGACCAGTTTCCTACACTCCTGCCGTCAAACGGAGCAGGTTTGAAACACCTGCCCCAGGTGAGGGCCTCTTCATCAGCCACAGCGCCCCTCCCCCCTGTGGGCAGTGGCCCCGCCGGTGGCGTCGCCCAAGTACAATTCCGATAGGAGGGGCTCTGGAGGCTTGGAGCCCAGACAGGCGCCCACCCCCCCCCTTTTTCCAGCAGAGAGTGGCGGGCGCGGTCAGTTCACACAGCCGTGGGCTTTGTGGGAATTTAAAACCACTGAGCTCTGCACACCCGAGCTGGGTGTGAGCCGTGGGGTCGGCCAGCTTGTCGCCAGTAGATGGACGCTGTGACCCGGAGGTCGTGTGTCTGCACGTCCCACACCTGCCGCCCCCCCTGCAGCCCAGCCCCAGTCGGCGGGAAGACCGGCCGGTCAGCTTCTACCAGCTGGGCTCCAGCGCCGCGTCGGTGGCCAAGGACAAGCAGAGGGGCTTCGCGCCCAGCATCGTGCAGAAC